GTGTGGCTGGGGTGTTGTACAATGTGGTGGGGGCTGTTGGTACTGTGTGTGGTGTGTACCATCGTCGCTCGTGGGACTGTGTCCGTGGTGTGTGTGGGGTGTGGTGTGGCTGGTCCGTCGTACTGCTGTGTCGCGCGCTGTCGTACCACGTGTGCGTGGTAGTGTAACCCGTGTGTGGAGGTGTCGTAACGTGCTGTGGGTGTGTACTCAGTGGTGTGGCGTGTAGTACATTGTGTGTGGCGTGGTCTGGTGACATCGTGGTGTGGGTGTGTACATGTGTGTGGGTGTGTACACTGTGTGTGGGTGTGTACATGTGTGTGACGGGTGTACATTGTGCGTGTGGGTGTGTACAGTGTGTTGGGTGTGTACAATGTGTGATGTGGGTGTGTTAATCGTTGGTGGTGTGAGCTAACATTGCTGTCCGGGCGTCGGCTGCGGGGTACCTGTTGGTTGTGGGTGTGTACAGCAGTGTGTGGGTGTGCTACAGCTGTGTGGGTGTGCTACACAGTGTGTGGCGATGTAACAAACATGGATGTGGGTCTTGGAGACATGTGTGGGTGGGTGTCCAGCATGTGTGGGTGGTGGTGTAACATGTCGTGTGGCGTGCTGTATCATGGTCGCTCGCCGGTCGGGTGTGTCATCCGTGTGTGGTGTGTATCTGTGTGTCTGGGTCGGTGTACACTGCGTGTGTGGGCGTCCGGTTAGTCGCTAAACATGCATACACCTCGCTACACTTATAGGGACGGATCGGTGGCTCCTAGGGTCACTCACCGGGCTACACTGGTATCATCTAGGGAGGGGGGTGCTGTACTAATGGTAGCATCGTACACACACGCTCAACGCGCCGTGCTGTCTGCATCGCTACACCCGCTCAGTACCCCCCGTGACGGGTCGCTGTATCCATGCGTCACCATCGTACCCAACTCCAAGAAGTGCGCTGTCATATGCTACACCCACTCCGCGTAATCGCCCGGCCTGGGTGGCCCTCATCGTCCCCTACACCTCGCGTACCTCACCTAAGCCGCGTGTCGTCCATTCGTTACCACCCTGTACGCATAAGGGTGGTAGGTATATGTACACCTGTCATACTACGCCGGCTGAGTGATACCTCCCCTACATCTTTTACCACCGTACGCGAGGGTGCCGCTCACTCATGCTCCCCACCCATCTGTACCACTCCAAGCGGCTCCGTGCTCACTCACTCCTCGCACCCCTCCCCCCTACACCCTGCTGCGGCTGCTGCCTACCTATGTACATGTGGGCCTGTGTAAATTGAACGATTAGTAATGTGGGTGTGTATATGTACAATGTGAAATTGTGTGTATATGTAACATGTTATGTGGGTGTGTGTACATGTAAAATGTGTGTGTAATGTATGACGATGTATCTTGTGGGTGTGTATATGTACAGTTTATGTTGGGTGTGGTATATGTACATGTATAATGTTGGCGTGTGTTTGTACATAATGTATATGTGGGTGGTGTATTGATAACATGATATGTGGTGTGTATAATGTTAAGATGAACTCTGTGCTAAATAATGTGGGTGTGTATGATTTTGTATATGTGTGGAGTGTGTATATGTCATTGTTGTGTGGGTTGTGTATAAATTGATTAGTGGTATATGTGGTGGTGTATATGTACATGTAGTATTGGTTGTGTATATGTCAGTATAATGTGGGTTGTATTATGTATGTATGTGGTGTGTAATATGTACATATATGTGGGTGTGTATAATGTACTGTATATGTGGGTGGTGTAATATGTACTGTACTAAGTGTGGGTGTCAATGAGGTGTATATGTACATGTCCTTGGGTTGTGGGTTGCCCCGCCCTGAATAACCCCGGCCCCATGTACACCAGGGCGGACTGCACCCATCTCCATAGTATGCTGTGAGGCACCTCGGTCCCGCCTTCACACACCTGATCCTCCAGAACAGTCGCCGCTCTACACCCCCCCTCCGCGCACACAAAAACCTACGACGCTTTCCCCTTTCTGGCCGTGCGGTGTGATAATTCGTGTAGCAGGCCCGGGTGGGGTGGTAATTGTGGTTGTGGTAATATGTACAATGTATAACTATGTGGCGTGGTGTATATGTGGAGATGTATTGTGTGTAGTTGACAGCCCTGTGTGTGTTAATGTGTCATGGCTGCGTGGTGTTGTGTGTTGTGGGTGTTACATGTGTAGTGGTGTGATGGGTGAGCGACGTATGTGTGTTAAATGTGATGTGACTAATATGTGTAACTTGGTGTGTGTGTAATGTTGTTTAAGTGTGTTGTGGTACAGTGTGTGTATGGAATAGTGTGTGTAAATTAATTGTTGTACAGTGTGTGTGTAAAAGATGTGATATGTGTGTGGGTGATACATATGTGTTCATGTGTGTGTGTCATGTGTGTTCATGTGTGTGTGTACAAATGTGGTGTTTCATGTTGGTGTACATGTGTGTATCATTGTGTGTAGTGTACAGTTATTGTGTGTACATTGATGTGTGTGCCACAAC